AAGATTAAAAACGCCCCTCACCTTTTTTTATTATTATTATTTTTTTTATTTTTTTTTTTTGCAATAATCATAAAATTTCGAGTGCTTTTAACTTAGAAGTCCGTTCGTTGAACTGAACAAAAATATTTTCAACAAATCGAGGCATAACGCAGCTGTTCCCGTTACACTGTAAGCCAAATGCGGCCGCGCGAATCGCAGGTGATAATTTCCCATTAAACGCGAAAACCACATATCCGGCACCTGTTCGCCATTTTCTTTTATCGTACTCTGTTAAGTCAATATCATGGTTGCGCGTGTTTGCTTATCCTTCGGATAGTTTTCTTTTAAAATGAACGAGCAAATTAACTGGTAATTTAAAGCAACAGACGTGTCATATCGTGTCAACGATTGGCGATTTTCTTAACATCTGTTTTCTTTCTATAGCAATCAATTAAAAAATTACTCTATTCTTGCTATTATTGCCATTATTGCTGCGTCGTCGTCGTCGTCGTCGTCGTCGTCGTCGTCGTCGTAATTGTTGTTGTTAAATAAATAATAATATATATATAATTTTTATTACATTAAATTTAAATATTATGGATTCTTATAAATATTAATTCCGTTTAGAATGAAAAAAAAAAAAAAAAAAAAAAAAAAAAAAAAAAAATGGAAATATAAACGTACCCATCTTTTCTTAAGATATTTCTTCAGATTGTTCGCTTTATAAAAACGATTTTAATGTCTAAACCTTAAACATTTGAAACAAAAAATATATGCAATATTCCTCATTTTTTGTAAAAAAAAAAAAAAAAAAAAAAAAAAAAAAAAAACATATATATATATGATTTTTATCACAAAAAATATATTGTTAATAATTAATGTTATGTTTGATAAAAAGATAATTTTATTCGAAAAAACATATAAAAACTAAATGTATTTAATTGAAAGTTCAGTATTATTAGTGAAGCAGTAAGTATAAAATACAGTAATATAAAAAGGCAAAAAATTACAAAGTGATTTTAATCGTACAATTATCATTGAACATTTCTAACATTATTACCGAAGGTTATATTTACAAAATTTGCATCGCTCTCTGTATTTATAAACTTACCTATGTGAAATAAATAAGCATTTAGCGTTGACCATAGTTAGTGCCTTATTATAGTACGATTGGAGAATCATAAATTTAAAAAATAAACACTAAAAACCATTGAAAGCTGCTATTGATTTACACTAGGAGCATAATAAAATATACATTCATTGGAATGATCTATGAATTTACGAAGTCAGAGCTAAAGTAAGAATACTCACACTATGATCAACAAGAACTATTATTAAACTCTTGTTCTTATATTAGCGCTTATTTGCTTTATTGCGCTAAGGCAGTTTTATCTATTTGTACGCATTCACAGCTAATCGACTTTTGCACCAAGTGTAGAATATTTAAATAAGGTTATAATTAAAGCGATCAGCGTATTTTTATTTTCAATTTCAGAGCTCAGCAATAATTCTCAGAAGAGTCAGATCTTATATCTATATTTGTTAACGTGCAAACTTATTTTTTATTAAGACATATCTTGTTCTATTAATGCTTATCAATTTCCATTGTTATTATTTATAGTATCACTTAAGAGCATTAACTTCGTTAAGTAGATTCTACAATTGATGAACGATTTATCTCTTGAACGATAAATATTTTACAACGTAGTATCGTCGTTTTAAAGCAATGAAGCGCATTGAATTATTGAAATTCTTAGGTAAAACGGTCGCGATAGGTGTAATACATCGTGATAAACTTCGTGTCTTCTTGCGCAATATTTTCACCGAAAGCAATTGTATATTCCATCACATTGTAAAGCTAATATTCTACCTCGAGACCTAAACAAACATCCCCAAGATCTCACTTAAACGAGAAATACATAAAGATTGAAGCGAGCGTGTTTATATTTTCGACGTGTGTGCCAATCGCCTCCAACGCCTGAAAAGAGTAACGGATTCTGCTTCTTAAACATTACATAAGAGGGATAACGCGCGCATCTCGGGTAATGCACGTGAGGAGACGGGCGCTCGGGTGAGTGCGTGGGCGGTACGAATTAGCGGAAATTAAGACATAATCAAAAGTAATTATTCAGAGGGGCCGCTTGGTCGCCTCTACCGCCGTTTAGTAGTGCTTTGTTGCGCTCGTAAGTCGCATCGTCTTCATTTCGCTGCCATCCGCGAGTCGATGCTCGGCAACGCTTCACGGCAATGCTCTCAGGTCATGTAAATTCTTGAATTTTCCGAAGCTGAGGATATTCGATCGGGGTGTTTCGATTGCGCCTGTCTGCTTTAACGTTGCAACTGCTCGTCACGGATGTTGTGCCTTACGCTACGGTAGGAAAGTAATTTGTGTACTCCTGTAATAAATTGGCTTTTTGTTTTTAGCTTTCTTGCGAAAAGTCGTTGATTAATTACTCTTCTTCTCTCTCGGTCGTATCTGTAATTTAAGAGTAAATATTTCGTTTTATTGTAAGGGCATGGAATTTTTTTTAACAATCAGTTCCCATTTGAAGGAACCCCAATTGAACAAGAATGTAAAGGTTTTAAGTTATTATCACTTTCTGGATTAAATTTTTACATTCTTTTTAAATATCCAATTTCGAGCTCATCAAGTCGCAATCTTTGCTTTTAATTTTTTTCTTTTCTCTTTTCTTCAAAAATCTCCATCGGTCATTAATTTTTCTCGAATTTACAGTGGAAAAAAATCTGTATACACCTCGTATTTCATGCATTTCTTACTATGTCGTTATTGCATGAACTTGCAAATTATTCTAATAAATTGTTTTATAAGCTAATGTTATTGAACCCAAGCACAAGCAATGTCTGTTTTATTATTTAATCTCGGTGAGTAATTTGTATAGTTTAATAACTTCCGCTTTGTTCTGTAATTCTATTAAATAACCGATTTAAAGAAGAAAAAAAAGGAAAGAATGCTTTTTATTATCAAGCAATTGGCTTAAAAAATTGCTACTTCAAACTGATAAAGACATAATGGCGCTACTAATTATCATCGCATTAACTTTTAAAAACTGATCGAAAACTATACAATCGGGCAATAATAAAATAATGTCTGTAATGAATTAATGAGCTTTGAATGACGTATAATTAGCATTGAATAAAATCAATTCGCGGAGGCACATGTGATTATATTATTGAATATACTGCATATGCTCAATACAATGTATTATTGATAAGTTTGATATTCAATTTTCAAATTTTCTCGCAATCATCATTATTAAATAGCAATTATGCAAAAGCGGTTGAACGAATATTGCTTGTATCATTAACTCAAATTTTACGATCAATTTTGCACTTGAAGCTACATCGTATATCTCGCATTTTGTCATTTAATTTAGTACAATAAATATCTATTTCCACATTGAATAAAACGTAGTTAGGACATTGTATGTCAGTTTAAACTTTATATTAATTGTACACAACTTTTGTTTAAACATATAAATTGATGATAGTAATGTCAACAGCTCAGAAAATGTTCTGAACCGAAGCATCAATATAAAACTAAAAAATCTTCAAGCTTGTTTACATTTCAAGTACACGATTTGTTATCGTTTATATTATAGTTTATAATTAATATAAAGTTTATTTTAGTATGGTTGTTATAGTTTGTTGTTGTAATATATTGATTTCCATCGATTAAAAATAATTAATTTAAGAAAAGATAGAAAAGAAATATTAAATACAACATTTATAAATAAGTACGATTACGTAGATTAGAATTTTTAATTTCTTCTTTTCATTATAACAAACATTATTGCAATCATGCAAATTCATCCATTTTTTGTTTATGTTCATTTGTTTTTCTCATTAAAAAAAAAAAAAAAAAAAAAAAAAAACCAAACAAAACATAAGAAAACTTACCTATATATTAGAATTTGTATATCATCATCATGAAATAGTATTCCCAATATGCAAAAGCGAATAAATAAACTACTGTGCAACACTTAAAAAGAAAAAAAACTATCGATACGATTGTTCAAACTGACACTATTTTGTTACCACGTAAACTCAAAAGTCCGGCGACGAGACTTTCGAGCAAAACAGTCGACTTTTGAATATTTTACATTTCTTGATGACTAAAAAGAAAGCAAATACATGCCATTATGTTTGGCATTTAAATGAAATTTTTTCGATTATAAATATAAATATTTGCTTTAACATGAGCTTCCGACACAATATAACCTCTATTATACCCTATTCTTGTCTATATCTTAATGAGTGAGTATTAACCTCAATTAAAATGAAAATCAGCTTCTTCTCGAATAAATGCGCGATTCAATTTATTTGAAACACGTTTTCGCAGAGTTCTTCTTACTCGGACCGAAATCACTTGAGCCGATCGCGTTAATTATTTCCAGGTTTATAAAATTGTTGCAAGTATAAAAACAAAAATAAAAAAATTTCAACGATTGCCGATAATCTAGCTCTTTTAACGATTTGATTAAGTAACCAAGAATTAATTAGGACTTGCTGAATTAAGACTTTAAATTTATATTGATACAATATTAAACGCTTTTAAACTGGACGAAAAAGCGGTTTCATCAAATACCTTAAAATTCATTACAGTCCGTGCATCTGAAGAAAAATTCAAATTATAATAAAAAATTATTTCATATGTATTTATTAACAGATTATGATATGATAAATTATTTTATCCATTCCATTCTGTTTAGCTTAATTAGCGCTTCCCTGCTTTCAGCCATAAATCCCCATTCTTATTATAACGATGATTTGAAATCACACTCGTTCCAACGAATGAGCGACTGATTTGCAACCGAAGCGAGGGATGATAAAAAGGTCTCTTCACTAGTCACGAGCTTTACGCTGTATCCCATAATAAACGCGAGAAAAGCTTTAAGCTCCCGGCGTAAAATAAGACGATTTGAGCACCTTCGGGTCATAAAAATGTCTCGCCCACGATCGTCCGACTCGCATTACATGATTTCCTTCAATGGCTGTTGCAGAACGCAGGCGAGAGCAGAATACCGTTGCCTCGGACGGTAAGGCCCTCGCTACTACCAAAGCTCCGGGCCCACGGAACTAGCAAGATAAGCGTCGGACCCATCGGTAGTCATCGACGATCGCCCGTCTACTGCGGGAATCACAAGCAATTCGGCAGCGGGACAACCGAGCAGACCAAGTCCCGGAGTCTGCTGACCCCTGATAAGGACGAAGGTGAGAGAGACAATGGCGATGAGTCTTGTGTGAAAACCTTTAGTCGGTACTCGGCAATTAAGAAGCTACGCGCAGTGCTCGAGTACTTTCGTGTTTGATTGGCTCGATTTACTCGGTGCGACTGTGTGCAATGACACTTTACTGGAAATGATGCTGATAATTGATTTTGGGTATAGGCGAGTCAGGCCCCTTGCTGTCGGTCGTTTAGATTTCATTGTTACGGTTTGCATATAACATATTAACGTTTATCATTGATTGACCCGTTTTCACTTATGTGCTGTGTTTATAAATTTGCGAGAATTTTTCGTAAAAGTTCGAATTGCAACTTCGAATAAAGAATTTATAGCCAGCTAAACTGTATATCAATGAGACACTTAATATTGAATGTGAATTTTATTTTATTATTGAATAAACTTTACGTAAGAATGTTTTGTCAAGTAAAAATATGTTGCATCCGTCGTTATGTTAAACAAAAATAATAATAGACATATATTTGTTATGCAAAAGTATTCTATTCATTTGCTTTCAAGATAAATATTCTAATGGAAACATTTGTATTTGCTAATAATTGAAATGGTAAACTATGCGTATGTCTTTCATTATTTTACTTAATTTTTTTTTCAACAAGTCACGAAACTTTGCGTGTTTTCAAACTCTTTTTATTGTTTTATTTTTTTAATATTAGCACATTTTTCTTATCGTTTCATTTCACTAATGCCGTAACGGTATTCTACAAGTTTATACAGTTGAAAAAATAATGGTCATTTCAAAAGAAAACATTTGTTATAGTAATGAAGAATTTAAACGCTGCATTACACAATATTAGAATACATCGCAAATATCATTGATACTCGTGCTACATTAGATTGTAATCGTTACATGTTTAATAAAAGCGTAATTGAGTTATAAATAAGAATGGAGACAAGATGCTTTAAAAATATATTTTACCTTCCAGTCATACCTTGATGAACAAATACATGATATTTAGGAATATGTTTTGTATGAAATCAAACGGTTTTATGTAAAAAAATTTATTGTTTAATGGAGGTTAGAGTTATATAACAAAAAAAGTAATAAACATTAAGATAAGTAAAATGATCGGCTGAGCGTTTTGAAAAGGGGAAAATTGTTACTGTGTAGTGAACGGCTGTGAGACGAGAGAAATATTTTAACCAACGCCTTCAGTAAGTTTCTTTTAAGATAGAGGATGTGTTGTGCTGAGGTTAGTGGCGAAGAAAACGGAGAGAGCGAGATAGAATGAAAGACAGGGAACACATTGTTGAGGTTGATCTCTTAGCCTACGGTTGCGGTGTCAACGATCCAGGATGCTTGCGTCCGGCACCAATGGCTCTTCGTTTAACTGGGATCATGAATATTTTAGTGACAACGCGACTTTCTTTTCTCTCTCTCTCTCTCTCTCTCTCTCTCTCTCTCTCTCTCACTCACTCACTCACACTCTGGTTGCTCATGATACGAGTTATACGTAATGCAAGGAGAGCAGTTTTAGATATCACAGACTGTATGGTGTGAAGAAGCCATAAATGCTGAGAATAAAGAAACAACAAACATACATCTGAAATACAAATAGTTTATCGAAATAATTATACTTATAAAATAATGAAAAATTATCGAAATTGCCGATGTGTTTTAAATACGAGATATTGCAGATAATGCATATAATTAAAATTTTTTTAAAAAATATTTCATGCATCTTCAATGTAATTATTTAAAAAATTAATTACGACAAATACATAATTCTTATAAATTATCAATATTTATAATTTACGACTTAAGATTGAATAACAAAATGAATTATATAGACTTTTGTCTTTCATGAAGAGTCCTTTTCTTTTTCTTTTTTTTTATAAACATAACTATAAAAATAGAAACTTATATTAATCATTCTTGCAAACATTTTTATTTATTTTAATTAGACACCTTTTCAGTTTTTTAATGTTGATTGCTTTTAATTACGAGTTTTATAAAACAGCGAAATCAATAAAAAAAAATTCTCAATGTTTTCAAGCAATAAACAATGATAATCTTTATTTAATAAATATATTTCTTATAAATAGTTAATAAAAATAGTTATTAGCTAATGTTCAATTTTTTGCTTTTAAAATAAAATCATTCTCAGTTCCGTTAGTTTTTAATAATTAAAAATAATACTACCATCAATAATTAATATGCATATCTATTTTTTAATTTATTATTCGTATATAATTGTTCATTGCCAACTTATTTCAGACAATCTTTTAGATAAAAATTATTCTATTTCGTCAATATGGAATACAACAGCGGAAAACAAGGATGCGGACCACCTCATGCGTTTAAATGAAGAAAAACTTGGAATTCTTCGGTTAGTCTTATATTGTATTATTTCACTGCTTGATTCATTTTATTAGATCCTTGCATTTATTTTCTTACATAAGACAATGGAGTTACTACTTATGTATTTTTAAAATTCACTATCAATTGCGTATGATTTGATGAGATATTGCAAATTCAATGTCAAACTGTTTTTAGTTACGAATCAATTTACACAAACTTTGGCTTTTTAATTATGTATAACAACAAAAATTGACTAAGATCTGATGCTTAAAAAATCATTCATACAAGTGTATTTTTTTTATAAAATTTTTTCAAGACATTCTTTATTAAAATCATTTATATTAAATGGGAAAGAACTATAAATATTTATTTAATAATTATTTCATTTAGGTATTTTACATCAAAACGTGTCAATGTTTTAATTTAATATAATCTCATTCATATTTATCAATTAAATCTCATAAATCGTTACGGGCATTTGATAAATGCTGAGCATTTCGTGTCCTTTCAAAACCTGTACTCTCACATTTGTAACATCCAATACGTAAAATTCGTACATGAAAAACGTTTCTTCCATTAAATTATATTTAAATGTTATTCTCATTACCCGAAAGATAATGCTTGCCGATAATCCATGGATAAGTTTCTCGGTATCCATTAGGTCATGTGCACAAACCTTTTATTTCGCGGACAGTTTGATCGGCATTTCAACTCGAAGCTTACATTATTCAAACATAAATACAACTAGTGAATTTACATGAAATTCTTAAAAATGTTACTAGTGTACTAAATTTTCTTACCAATCAATTTCAGCTCGCAGGAGGACCTCGTGAATTTTACGTGCATCAAGAAAAAGAAGCAGCAACAGCAGGAGGAGCAGGTCGATGCTTGTCCGAATAACGACAAGGGCCCCGTTCTCGGTGGTATCGGCAACGACTACGCTATCGATTCTCCGGTAGGGACGACGCCGCACTACTTGATGCTGACCAAGCAAAACTCGTTCGAGCACGATGAGAGCTTAGGCATCCTCACGCCCGATCAGATGACCGACTTCACGGTGGCCCTCGAGTCCTCGAGAACGCCTTCCTGCGAGAATCTTTCGGGTCACGCTAATTCAGGTGAGAGCGAATTAGCTGTGCTTCTCGAATAGATTTCGTATGGGTCACGCCGACTATTTGCCTTTAAATTTTCTCCTACGGTTTTATAATGAACATCCACCGCAACACGATGAATCATTTTGCACTTTGATTGGCGAATAAAAGTCATTGATTTAGTTTACGCTGCAACTAGATGTCTTATCTGCATAAATATGTATTCGATAGGGAAGAGTCGTTCAGTTAGTTTGAACTTATTGCTTTTTTCTTTTTCTTTTTAACGTTATTTAATAATAAACGTATAACAAGATGAAAAAGTAATGTGAATTTTATATTATACAAACAATTCATAATAAATTATTGGATAAATAAGAATCATTTTTATTATGAATTTATGATTGTAGCATGATAACGTGAAAATGTTGTCTAAGTTGTATTTTAAACAGGTGAAATTGGTAGTAATAATTTTATAAATGACGATATTGAAATTAATAAGAGAGAGAGAGAGAGAGAGAGAGAGAGAGAGAGAGAGAGAAAGAAGGAATGAAGAAAAAAAGCAACAAAGACATGTATCATAATATATTCTATACTATGTAGTATAAAAAAATTAATAAAATCATTAAATTAAATTAATAAAATTAATTGATAAAATAATATAAAACCGATACCTTTTTTGTATAAATTCAATGCAATAACTGATTACTTATCACTTACAGTATTTTGGACTTTGTGACATTGACAATCCAACGTGTATGGGTATTCGAAACATTAACAAAACAAATATGTTTTTCTGAAAAAATACAAATTTCTACTACAGTTATTTTGGAATGAATCACGTTTTGAAAACTTGAAAACTTTTTTGACAAAACTTGTATCAATATCACTACGATATTTAGTATGTAAAATTCCTTATAAAAATAATAAAATTTTAATGCCGCATTTGTCAGTTTATTAAATAATATGATTATGAGGCGAAAAAAAAAATCATCAAAGTATGGTATGTTGCATTGACAATTCAGGAAGAAAGAGCGCGTACGCGGATAAAGAAAGAAATACGGCATATCGAGTAGCTGAACATTTCTGGGTTTTTCTGGGTTTGTCGTTTAACTCAGTTCATTAGCGTAAATGCAGAAAAATATATAAGTTCCAATATCATTCAAGGACATTATTTTATAGATTCATATTGCTTTATCGTACAGTAACGATATAATAACAAGTATTTTTAATGGATACGATGTTTGAATTATTTATCACAAGAGAATAGTCATATTATGATGGAATTGCAAATGAATTAGTGCAGAGATAATTAATAATGGTAAATTTTATGTCAAAGTAATGAATATTTTTTAAAAATTCATCTATTAATATTTACAGCCATCTCGACTGGATGATTTAACGTAACGAAATCAATAATTTTGAATGAAATTTCAAGTTTAATTTTCAAGCTTAGTTTGAATTACAATTATAATGCGAAAAACTCATAGAGGTGAAAGTTCGTATAAAAGAAAATATTATGTAAATTATGTAAGATCGTAGCCTGTAGCCCATTTATACCCCGTTCCCTTTTTCCATAACCCTTCAAAATTTTATAATATTTGTCTATTAATCTTCATTCCAGACAAGTTTCTATTTGGCAAAAGCAGTGCTGTAGTTACCGCTGCGGCACGTCATTTTGACATCGCCGCCCGAGTGCCGTCGATCGAGGCATTCATACTGTCAAATGACCGGAGTCCCTCGATCGAGGAACTGCCCCTGGATCCGAAGCCAAAAGTTGTCGTCGACGGGGACATAAATGTACTTCAATCGGCAGCACTTTGCGCTGGTATAAAAAAAAAACAAAACAAACAAACAAACAAACAAACAAACAAACAAAACAAAACAAAACAAACAAAAAAAAACAAAACAAACAAACAAACAAAAAACACTTCACGTTAATAAATAATGGGAAAAAAAAGAAGAAGAAGAAAGAAGGAAAACACGAAAACAAAGATTTTTTAAAAATTGTTATTATGTCTTAAATCCCATGAACCGTAACACTCTAACAACTTCTCAGCAAGTTACGTAATTCATATGCTCAATATAAAATAATACGGAAATCAATAAATATATTATTTATGAGATACTCGCTGATCTCATAGATTTGAATAATCGTAAGATTCTTTTATATATTCCCAAGTTAGACCAGCTTATGCCCTAATTTATCGGAAAATATTCGAGAAAGCTAAAATGGCATAAACACGTCATTGTTTATGGCAATAACTTATCACGAGATTATCGATGATGAACGATCCGTCCATAACCTTTGTTCGCCCCCCCCCCTTCTCGTGTCGTCCCCTCCCTACTACCGTACTACCACCGCCACCACCACCACTACCACCACCACCACCACCATCATCACCGCCGCCACCACCACCATCAGCCCGTCTACTCGAACTATCGTACGCACTCTCACTCACTCTCTCACGCAATCTGTTTACGTTAACTCGCTCCTCCCTTCGCATCATCATGTCGCCAAATCAAAACACCTCTACACCAATAAATACGTCATGACCGATACCCAAGATTTTGCCAAAACAGAGGAGGTCGCGCCAAGGTTAGAGAAACAGTCATCAGACACGGTCGTGCTGTTAAAGCCAGCAGCCGTCGACTCGCCGTCGGAGACGAGCGAGCACACGAGCGAGCAGACGCGTTGTGGCGGCGCTGGGGGCATCGGAGGCGTCGGGGGAGTCAGCGTCAGCGGTGTTAGCCACATCTTGCCGGCGAGTTTCATAACATCCGTGACGAGCATCACGAGCCTCGAGGCCGGCTATCAGGGAGATGGGGAGAACTCGCGGCCCGCCAGCCGAGGACCCGAGCCCCTTTCCGTCGCCTCGGCCGCCAATCTCATCGTCAACGCCGCTTGCAAGTTAGTTCCTTGTCAAATAATCCTTTGGCCATTGTTGCATTGAATATATCGAGTTAACGCGCGAAATGGCGAGAGACTGACTGTTCGATATTTCAATATTTATCGAATGGTTGGATTGTTGGTAAGGAGAGGAAAAATGGGACAGCCGATTCTACTTATTCGTATATCATTATCATACGTGGCGTGGTAAAAAGTCATTTACATTATGTATCGTTAAAATACATTTGCTTCGGGAAAACTCGACGATTAACATAAAGTTTGATATAATGTGAAGTGCTTATGAGTGGGAAGGGAGGGGGTGGGGGGAGGATACTAAAAATTCTGATTTATCTAGTCGATCTATTGATTTATTTAATGGTACAAAGATGTCTACGAGAGCCCTTGAAAATGATGAAAAATGCAATTTTATCATATAATATAATATATGTGAGCCACGTACACGTCACATTTGTCCTAATACACTCGTAAAGGAATCAATTTTATTTCGTGTATTTTATATTTATGCGGAATGAATAGTACATAATATATTATAACTGAACAACGCCGAAAATTTTACAAATAATTCTGTTTTTCGTGTTTTTATTTTCATTTAATTTAATTCGATATAATTTTCTCTCTACTAAAGGCTACTAACTAACATTGACTAAGTACACTTTATAATCATAATATTATCGAAGGGACAAAAAATTTAATTATTATTAAAAAGATTATTATATAAAACAAGTAATAATTATCAATTATTAGTAAGCAATTAAATCAGTTTGTTCTAATGGCTTCTAATGCTTCTAAGGCCACTATCAATGTTCAAAGAAACTTTATTCTTTGAAATTGGTGAAGGGGTGAACTGTGCGGGCATTACACTAGCAATGAGACAGCAAGACGAAATTCAAATAATATAACGGCATTGCAGACAAGACCCAATGACGGATTCCGACTTCTTCACGGAAAGCGACGTTGACGCACACGAGGAGATCGTGCGAGGCGACCGCCGTGCCCAGGTGATCGACGGCACGCTTTTCTGCGCACCCAACGAACGCCGCTGTCCGAGCTTCGAGCCCTGCGAGGAGATGGACTCATCCGGCATCTATTCGGACCTGGACAAGCGCCAGGACAGCGTCGGCGCGGACGGCGAGGGCTACGGCGACGGGGACCATACGACCGACACCGGGGACACCGAGGTCTCCATGAGGAGCCAGCTCTCGCCCCAAGACCGGAAGCCCGTCACTGCTCTAGTAACTAAGAATATGCTGGTGAGTTTCCAACCCCTGGTGCTTTAACTAAATGCAAGCGCGCGACTGCGACCCGCTAGGACCTGCAGCATGCCTTGCTAGGAAGCGTCTCGTTGCTACGGCTTATCTGGAATAATAATAATAATAATAATAATAATAAAGATTCAACGATTCATATGAATTTGTAATAGAAAGCCATTGTAATACTATATCTCGGATTTTAATGAACCGTCGTGAATTTTTTCTCTCTTTTCTCTCTTTTGTTCCTTACAATCAATACATCTTTTGAAAATAACGTCGATTCATTGTATTGCGTGTGAATATTGATATATATATATATATATATATATATATATATAATCTTATAACGAACCGTTTAAGCGAAATTATAGCAATTGAAAAACGGGGAAAAAAACTACATTTATTCAAAAGTACGAGTATTCTGAATTTCGGTTGTGCCCTAAGTTATACAAATAATTACTATAATAATTCTTCATTCATTGAAGTTTAAAAATTGTAAATTGTTCGATTTTATTGTTTTTATAAATGTATTAATTGCTTCGCTAATAATTGAAATTCGTTAAAGATATACTTAATCTGACACATAAATGCAATTGGACTTCACGAATGTATTCTTGTATTACTTTATAATCTCGATGGCACGTATCGTGCGGTCATAAGCTTTGACCTTTCCATTTAAACCGCGTGTGCGTGATTTTAGTACCGAAGAAGTTCAGCATTTGCTCGATTAAACTATCAATGCCATAATCATAAAAACTGCGAAATATTTTCTCAACAATAATGTTTTATTATTATAATAAATATTTTTACAGACTCCACAAGATATATTCCACGAATCAAAGGAATCGACCTCTCCTTTGTCACCTGCTGAAGTAACTGTGATCAAGTGCCAAAATAACGAGCAGACTAAATCCAAATCTAACAATATTAGTAACAAGGAAAACTCGGCACCCCTCAAAAAGTACAAAATGCCAAAGAGAAATGTCATCTCAAAAATCAAGACTATGATCGAGTCTAATCAGAATATTGGTTAGAAAAATATTTATGTTTAAATAAAACTATATATCTCATTATGGTAATAATATATGTATTATTCGGGTTTAGTTTATTATAAGAAAGATTGTTTCGATAATACATACGAGTGAATGCAAATTTTATTTTTACAATAAAATGCTTTACATTGTAAAGCCACGCTTTTCAATTCTATTCTTTTAATAATAAGTGAAAACAACTTTTTATAGATTTAATATTTCATTTGAAATGTTACAAAATATATCAAAATGGCTGCGCTAGTAGTATTTTCATATTATACAAATAAAATGTAAAATAACCTAATATTATAACTTGCGTTAAAGGGATTTCATGTAAAATTGTGAGGAAAACGATCAATAATTTGTAATTGTCAGAAATAATGTTTTAAGTAATACATTTAGGTTGGAAATTAAAAAATCGCTAGATAAATAATTCGATACAATTCATTAGATAATGTAAGAATAATTACATCACACTAATTATGATAGGCAAGGTTAATATGTATTGTGCCACGAAATACCTTTACATACATTGCAAATACAAAAAAGGAAATTAAACGCGAAAAAATTAGGACATGACCTAATACTCTAATAAAAATTAGAACAAAATACATAATACAGAGGTAATGAATTTGTATTTTTCCAATTCAGTTAAATCATATTACTACTATTGATTACAACATTGATAATAACATTACAGCAAACAAATACATAATTGTTTAATATTTAATTAATTAACATCATTATTTTTAGACGTTGAAAATAATATTATTGTTGGTTGAAAGCTATTATTTTAATCCTCATTTAATGAAAACTTGCATTATTATATATAAAGTATACTTTTCTTCTTATTTTAACGTAATATAGCAATAAATAAGATTTTATGTATTAACTGATAATTACTGCATCTTCCACAGCCTGTGCATTTAAATATATATATATATATATATATATATAACGAGTAAATATTTAATTTATATTATCAAGTACGATAGTTTTATTAATTAGTATATAGACGCTCTTTATGTTTTACACTTCTTTGTGAATTTAGCGATCTATATGAAGCATAAATCTATCAACTAAAAGTAAAACTAAATTAGTAGTGAACTGATTTTTCCACAGAATTCAAAGTAAATATTATTAAAAAATATGATTTATGCAAAGTTACTATCTTGTAATCGTATTTGATTGAGTAATTACATTAAACATTATTAAAACGTTTTGAAATTATAATATTATTAAATTATTGAAATGAGGAGAAGAAAATTTCCCGTTACAATAATAATAATGTGCATCATTAAATTATTAATTAAAATAAATTTGTTTATAAAAATTATGAAAATCTTTTATAAAAATTAAAATGACTGATGTTTAAGCTTGATTTTTTGTTTATTATTTGTTTTTAAATGAACAGTAGCGAAGGACGAACCTGAAAATGAACTGAGGAGGCCTCAAAGACCGCAAAGGAAAAATGGACGATGGGAGGCGGTAATGAACAAAATCGAAGCTGGCAAGCAACGCGGCAGATCCTTAAAGAAGGAAGTTAAGTCGCGCGTTCTGCATGGTTTGGGTACATCCACTAGTTCCACGGCTTCGACATCGTCAACAAGGCGACCCGCTGATGATGCCAATACTAATACCAACAATAAAGATAAACGGTAAATATCCTTTCCTTAAGTTTCTTATTTAATATTTCTCCTGGCAATCTATAAATTTTATATAATTGTTAATATTAATATTTAATTGAATAATTGGTTACTCTTAATTATCAATAAAACTTATATAAATATACGCACACAAACATAGGCACCCTATAAAATTGATTTGCTGTTAATGCAAAATTGTACGAATTCGGAATATGAATAGTAATTCACTTTTTGGTTTAAATGATACATTTGTTGCGCTGTCGATAAAACAGTTTTATGATTGTAAGGTGTCTAGATTAATATGTAAATTAAATTTGATATCGGATTCACACCCACCCTACACTATCCATATTGAAACTAATACAAATTAATATAACGATAATGAAGTGTAAATTAAATAATAATAATTATAATAACATTAGACTGTGAATCATTTGAAAATTCATTCAATGTTTATTGAATTAATTTTGGGAGGCCTTAATTAAAACTAAAAACTAATTTACTCGAGGAAGTAAAAAAATTCAATCTATCATTATATCGTACATGAGGTATTTATTAATTGATATTCATTTTTCTTAGACTTCTAATACATCTCGATAATGACATTATGAAAATTACAAAATTATTCATAAAAATACCATTCGTTTTAAGAAATAATTCTATAAATAGTAAAAGATCATTAAGATTATGGTGACAATCAGTTTAATAGTTTTATTAAGTCGATATTTTGATATGTAATATATTTAATTGAGTATTTATTATTGTTAATCGCCTAAGATTTTTCTGTTTTGTTAATCCGAATTTTTACTATAGGTCTTGTAATATTTCATATCACAAGTAAGAACTCGTAATAGCAAATTCACTATAATCACAAAAATGGCAATAACTGCTTTGAAGTTGAGTTTAAAAAATGTTGAAAACACTATCCTTCTCTTATAAATACGTCTAAAGAGCAAAATGTTTTATAGACTTTAATCAAGTTTTTATATTCAATTTTTCGTCTATAGAACCTAAAAGATTGGCTAACATTTTCATATTGCATTGGCGGCACAATGCAGGCTAATGAAATAAAACCAGGTTGCATAATAATTCAAGTTACTTTTGACATTATATATTAGGCTCACATTGC